GAGAAAATTAACGTTATCTGATAATATGAAAATTCGCAGGGCGAGTTTGGAAAGTTGATTATTGCACGGAAAGAACTTAAAGGTTTAGAAAGTAAAGTAACAATTTTCTCTGTCTTACAATATTCATATTTTCTTTTTCAAAAAAATTTCATTCGTTCTTTTTGAACTCTCAAGCACGCTTTCAAAAATTCCACGCAATCTCCAGTGTCACCTGCACTTTGATCTTGCCGCACGCTGAAACAGAACGATTCGAACAGACCCTTTTCTTTCACCCCGAAACACCGACGAATCGCGGAGAAGAGAAGAGAAAGACAGGAAATTTCGCGCGGGCTATTTATAGCTGCGCTTTTTGGACCTGCGACAAAAGAGTCTCCGGCGTGTTGGAAAGGGGTTAAGAACGCGAAAGGATTCGTCGGACTTCCGGGTTGTGCAGGAGCCGCTTCTGACCCGAATCGGCGATTGTTGCTCGGCCGCGAGCGATAAATTCGCGGGTTATATGGGGCGCCTGGCTGGGTTCACCAGGGGGGTTGGCGCTTGGGTGGGAACACAGGGTATGTCTCTCCTCGACCCAGTTCCCGGTCCTCGCAGATTATACGCACCCAATACGAGCGTTTCGCATCCGAACTGGTGTGTCGAGTGCCTAAATCGTCCACCCTCTTCCACTCGATAGCCGGAAACCCTCGCTTTCACTCTACCAGCCTGATCAACCTGCTTTGATCGTGGTGGTTCGGGGATGGCTTATTTGCGACGCTCGATTCGACTTTGTTTTGTGATTGGTTTCAGAGTGTTTTTGGGTATTGGGAATTATATCTTGGGATTTTTTTATCGTGGAGAGGATTCTTCCACGTAGTATTTAATTCTCGTAGGAAAATTACTTCTCACGATAAGACGAACAGCAATATATCCTTCGCGTTACGTCCGATTAATGTAAAAAATGCCATCGTGATAAATTGTACACATACTTGTACGTTAAAATTAAAAAATAAGGGTTCTTCGATGAGCATGGTTAGATTGGGTTATTGAGGATGAATCTCTTGATAAAGCTCCTTGGACAATGGTGACTAACTGTGGTTGATAAAGGTAGAATAGAGTTTAAATTGATTCGACTATTTTGCCACATTAAAAATTTAAAAAGTATTACTTTTCTATTTTTTAAATTACAGGTAATTGTGAAAATGAACGATTCTTCGGTGGAAATAAATTTCTTTATTCTTATGGTTGATTACATTTGATAATTAATCTTTCTGAAGTAATGTAAATTAAACAAATTACTTTATATAACGAAGGACTAATGAAATGCAAATTTATTACTCCTCTTTTGTCACAACTTGACCGGAATCTGCGCCACGAGTGTTAATTATAAAGCAACGGGGTTAATCCACGCTAAGTCTCGAACAGATTAAACAAGTTTCTAAGAATTTTAAAAACACCAATAACAGTAAACTTCTTTTAAATCCCCTGCAATAATTTATTCAACGAAAACTAACATCCTCCTCCTCCTTCTCGAATATCTATCCAGCTTTTCTAACTACTCGAAGTTACCGTCATAAATTCCCCTTCTCCTTTAACTCCGGTTAACTTTCAAGCACCACGTCTAAAGTACCTTCGTAACACCATAAATAACCATTCTGAGAACCAGCTCCCGATAATCCCTGCAACAAACTCTCCAATAATTACTTTTCCAATCGAGATTACCCACTCTCTCTCTCTCTCTGGACACTTTTATCCAACGTTCTCCGCAGAATCAATATACGCGAAACGTAGCAGCAAACCTCTGTAGAAGTGACGCGTGATACTATCTACGGTTAATTTGCCAGGGGAGCCACAGTTTGCCTCGCAAATTCACCCGGCAAACAGTCTATCCGATCCACGGATATCGTCCGATTACATTATTTCGCGTCGCGAGTAATCGATTTACGTGGCCACGCTCCGCAACTCTGCTGCTTTTGTTCAGATATATAGAGTCGATGGAAGCGATATAGCGCGGTCGTAAATTAAACCATTCACCGGCGACATTCGATTGATGTTGCCGCACCCAGGGCCGTCGGTCGTTTGTCAATTGATATCGTAAATTTCTCCTTCGAATCTTTCTTTTTAAGGGGTTACGCTTACCCAGAGAATGTGAATTTACGAAAATCAGGGGAAAAAGTGAAATTTAATTATTGCCTCTGTTTTCGGATCTTAGTTTCTTCGCTGTATCGCTTCCATCGACTATACTTTGACGCTTGACTGATTTTACGATTTCACTGTATTTCTTTCAGCGACTGTACCTTGACATTTGCTCAATTTTACGATCGCAATATATTTCTTCCACTGACTATACTTTGACGATTTTAGGACACTAAAATATTGCTTTCATCGACTGTAATTTGACTCCTGACGAATTTTGCGTTCTCGCTATATTTTTTTCACTGACTATACATTGACAGGATTTTAAGACCCTAAGATATTTCTTTCACTGACTATACTTTGACGATTTTAGGACACTAAAATATTGCTTTCACCGGCTATAATTTGACTCCTGACGAATTTTGCGTCCTCGCTGTATTTCTTCCATTGACTATACATCGACACGATTTTGAGACCCCAAGATATTGCTTTCATCGACTGTAATTTGACTCCTGACGAATTTTGCGTTCTCGCTATATTTTTTTCACTGACTATACATTGACAGGATTTTAAGACCCTAAGATATTTCTTTCACTGACTATACTTTGACGATTTTAGGACACTAAAATATTGCTTTAACCGACTGTAATTTGACTCCTGACGAATTTTGCGTTCTCGCTATATTTTTTTCACTGACTATACATTGACAGGATTTTAAGACCCTAAGATATTTCTTTCACTGACTATACTTTGACGATTTTAGGACACTAAAATATTGCTTTAACCGACTGTAATTTGACTCCTGACGAATTTTGCGTTCTCGCTATATTTTTTTCACTGACTATACATTGACAGGATTTTAAGACCCTAAGATATTTCTTTCACTGACTATACTTTGACGATTTTAGGACACTAAAATATTGCTTTCACCGGCTATAATTTGACTCCTGACGAATTTTGCGTCTTCGCTGTATTTCTTCCATTGACTATACATCGACACGATTTTGAGACCCCAAGATATTGCTTTCATCGACTGTAATTTGACTCCCGACGAATTTTGCGTTCTCGCTATATTTTTTTCACTGACTATACATTGACAGGATTTTGAGACCCTAAGATATTTCTTCCACTGACTATACTTTGACGATTTTAGGACACTAAAATATTGCTTTCACCGGCTATAATTTGACTCCTGACGAATTTTGCGTCCTCGCTGTATTTCTTCCATTGACTATACATCGACACGATTTTGAGACCTCAAGATATTTCTTTCACCGTCTGTAATTTGACTCCCGACGAATTTTGAGACCTCGCTATATGGTTTCCATCGACTATACTTTGACGCTTTACGGATTTTACGATCTCATTAGATTTCTTCCATGGACTATACATTGACACCTCGTGAATTTTACGATCGTGCTGTATTTCTTCCACTGACTATACATCGACACGATTTTGAGACCCCAAGATATTGCTTCCACCAACTGTACTTTGACGCCTGACGAATTGTTCGACCTCGCAATATTTCCTCCATCGACTATACCTCCGCCCTATCTTCCGCGTTTGTATCGACACCGTTGCACGCGTAATTTATATAATTACGCGAATACTAATTCCCCCATTACCGTAGCTAACGCCGTTAAAATAGAAAGCCGGATGAATTATCGATTCCTGGTCATAGTAGAAGGGGTGTCGAGATTAGTTTCTGGATAACAGTGGAACATGAGCCGTGATAATTGTACCTGGACCAAACACTGTATCCGATAATTCGTTAAATAATTCCTTCATTAATTTCCTATTGTCAACCTCGATATTATTTGGACAGTTTTGAACGTCGATCGACGTTCGATTGCTCGATTAATTTTCATCAAGACAGAAACACGTCCACTTTTAACAACCACTTCTCCGACATTAATTACCGGCTAATTAGCGTCAAGCTTGTGTAAAAAGACTTTAATACTACGAATAAAAACCTCTTTCTTTTTTTTCTTTTTTTTTTATGTTACATTTGCATAATGCTTAGAGAGACACTTTG